AGATGGAACCATTAAGCGTTACAATAAGGCGGAAAACGAATGCGGATTTGCGCAAATGCTCTCTGTTTCGAAGCTCAACGATCCAAAAAATGGGTACATCAATGAAGATGCTTGTATCATTGGAGTTGAGATCTTTGTTATAAAGCCTATAGAGAAGCTAGAAAGAGTTGTCTTCACACATAACCCACCAAACAACAAATTCACCTGGAAAATCTCTGATTTTTCGAAACTAGGAGACGCCAAATATCATTACTCGGATGAGTTTGTGGTTGGAGATAGGAAATGGTGAGTCTTTTAATCTATTGATATAATGTTTGGATACTCATGAATAAGTGGAACTTTTATATTTGATGTTATTGTGTATTTTAAAGGAGAATGAAGATGAATCCAAAGGGAGAGACCGAGAACAAAGCACTTTCAATCTATCTTCAAGCCATGTCATATCTACCAAACGCAATCGTTTCTTGCACTTATGCAAAGATGAAACTTCGTATACTTAATCAGAAAAACTCTGACCACATTGAGAAAACCGGTACAAATTCAACTATTTTCTCGTTTTTATTAAAAACATGAGAATAAAAAAAATCATTATTAAAGAATGACTTGGGTTTGTTTTTGATGATTTGATATATAGTTTGGAAATTTTATTCGAGAGAGAATGAAACAGGATCTGGAAAATCTGACCTAATATCTGTGGAGGATCTAAATGATGAATCAAAAGGGTTCCTTGTGAAAGACACAATCGTTCTTCAAGCTTGTCTGATGTGCATCAGTGATACTAAGTTGGTCGACTCCATCTAAAAACCTTTTTTTCATTTCCTTTTCCATGCATGCATCTTTGTTTTGTAAGCAAATAAAATGTAATCTACTTTGGTATTTTTTTTTTCTATTTTATTGTTGTTTTCTGATTCAAATGGTGTGTTATGTGCTTAGTTGATTATGAACCAATGGTGTGCTATTTAGTTTCCATGTAAAAATAACAAGGAGTATCATAAATAATAAGGACTATTTATAATTTTGGTATTATTGGAAAGAGTTGACCCCTCTCACAACATTTTTTTAAAGGGATACTCTCCCCACAATAATTCGTTTTTTTTTTACCACTAGAGACAAATAGTCCATGTTTTATGTTCTTTATAAACTCATCTATTTACATATAATCACTCAACAATTTGTTTTCTCTTGCATGTGAGTTAGTTTTTGTATGGGGTTTGTTGTGTTAGTAGCATGGATCATAAAATACATCGCAAAAATCTAACTATTAAGGAAGACCCTAAGGCCTAAACTAAACAAGATTGACTTCACGTTGTTTCTCAACTTCCCAAATTATTTTCATATGATCTTCTATCTTTCAAAAATCTTCATTCAATATAATTCGACAAATCATGATTATATCTATAATATCAATTTATGTTTTAAAAGAAAATGATTATATCTATATCAAATGATTCATATTAGTAGCAGTTATTTTAGAAAAAACGCAACTCTTGACAAAACCGTTATAATGAAACGACGCAACTCTTTGTAAATAACTACTTAACGATTTTTTTACGAAAAATCACAACCTAAAAATATTCATTTTCGAAAAGACGCAACTCTTAAAGAAAATAAAAAAAAACAGTTATTTTTGATAAGATGCAACTTTTGACGATACAGTTATGATGAAAAGATACAACTCTTCACAAAACGGTTATAACGAAAAGACGCAACTCTTGACAAAGCGGTTTTAACGAAAATGTACAACTCTTGTAAATAACCATAAAACGGTTTTTGTCGACAAGACGCAACCTTTTAAAATAAGGGGCAATTACAAAAATGCCACTTTTTGTGTGGACATTTGCAAGAATGCCACTTAGGGGTATCCATTTACAAAAATACCACTAATTATAGATTTGTAAAGCCTATATCTTAAAATTCTAAACCCTAAAAAATGTTTTGACACCTAAAACCCCCTAAACACTCAAAACTAAACCCTAATAGAACATAATTAACCCAAACATAAATAATATAAAGAAAAAATAATTTTTAAAAAGTGGCATTTTTGTAAAGATTTCAAAAGTGTGACATTTTTGTAAAGTAACACTTGAAAAATGGCATTTTTTGAAATTTCTCTTAAAAAAATAACCACAATTTGGTTTCTTTTTTTTTTAACTCGGCTCTAGCAAAAACCTATAAATAGAATATGGTTTACCGAGAAGACACAATAAAAAATATTCATTTTTTTGGGTTTGCTATTACATAATTTTTTTAATAAATCATAAAATTTGTAATCAACATTTTTTTTAATTGTAATGAACATATAACAACAAAATCAAAATATTTTTTCTAACAATTAAGAAATGTCTTTTTTACTTTTTATATCTCAGATAATTATAAAACATATTGTTGACCAAAAAAAAAAACATATCTAAACTGAAAGTAAAACAAGATTCAGATAGGAAAATGTAAACATATTTGACTTAGGAGGTCTCTGTTTTTCTTCTTGTTTATAAGCACTTAAGAATTAAATCCTCACAACTCTCTTGCAACTTTCTCTAAACCAAAACTCAAAAAAATTCTTTGGTTCTTCGTTTTTCTCAAGAGAATCATCATCATGTCAAATCGAAGGTCTCGATCTCGAATCCCGGGTTCACGCTTTAATCCGACCGAGTTGGAGCTCATCAACTACCTTCGCCGGAGAATCGAGAGAAATAAAAAGTCTAGTTACATAACCGATATGAATGTGTACGAGAAAGAACCGTGGCTTCTTCAACACGTAACACACCCTAAATTCAAGAAGAACGTATGGATTTACTTTGTCACTAGGAAAAAACCACCGAGGATTAAAAAACTTGACTCGAAAAGAACGAGTCGGGTCGTTGGATCGTGTAGATGGAAGACCACGGGTCTTTTGACTTACTTAAACGATGAAGATGGAGTCAAGGTTGGTTCGAAGCAGAGTATAATCTTTAAAGCCAAGATCAATGGAAAGAAAGATGAAATAAACACCGGTTGGGTGATGCATGAGTTTCTTTTGAATAAACCGGGTTTTCAAGAAGTGGTTCTCTGTAAAATCCGGTTTAAACAGGATAAGAACAATGCTCAATATGCTCCAAGACTCGAACCTATAGTGATCGGAGAAACCGCTCTAGTGCCGCGTGAAGAAGATAGTTTGGTTAAGAGAAAGGAGCAAGAAGAAGAAGATTTCAAGACTCTCATGAGTTCAATTGATTTCGAAGGTTTAGAACAAGACATGGATCTTCCTACGGAGTTTCAAGAACCATGGTTTGGGTCTTGTTCTAGTGGAGCTGTCTCTTACTCGGCTGCTCAACATCAACAGTGTATGGGACAAGACTCAAGCTATCTAATGAATGGATGTATTGAGCAACAACAAGACTTTGGTTCTTGTGGTCAGCAGCAAAACCAGATTCTTGGACAGTTCTCTCTAATGGAGCCGCAACAGCATAATGGTCAAGGTTTTGGAGATATGGCTCATGAGTACCTAAACCAGAATATGGGTCAAGAGACGGATTTATGGCAAGTTCCAATGATGAATCAAGCCTTGAATGGGTATATTGGTCCATACTCGGCTCAGCCATATTTGGGACAAGACATGGCTCCAATGACACAAGGCATGATGGTTCATCAACAAGAACAATGTTTGTCTGCTCAATGTCAACAGTTGTCAATAAATGGAGGTATGGAGCAACGTCAAGACTCTGGTTCTTGTGGTCAGTTTGTGGGAGAATCTTTAGGTCAACAACAAAACCAGTTTTTTGGACAACAAGCCACCATTCTCTCACCATTGGAGCAGCAACAATGGAATGGGTACTCTGGTCCATACTTGGCTCAACCATATGATCAAGGCATGGTTCCAGTGACGCAAGGCATGATGGACCGTCAAGAATTTGGCTCTTCCTCTCTATGTTTGGCTCAAAACGATCATTATTTTGGACAGAACAATGATCTCTCAGTGGTTCCTATGGAGACTCAACAAGGCATAGAACCGCAACAACATGATAGTAGCTGTTTTAATCACAATGTTGTTGAAGATCTAGCTGCTCGGAAACAACATTTGGGACAAGAGTCAAACTTGTTGTTGACTCAACAACAACCTAATGACCAAAACCAGCTTTGGGGACAAAATATGAATCAAGCCTTGGAAGAGCAGCATTGTGGTCAGGTTGTTCCAGAGTCGGCTCAGCCATATTTAGGACAAAACATTGATCTCCCAAAGCTTCCTATGGAGACTCAACAAAAGGACAATATCGTCGAAAACTTGCCTGCTCAACTACAACTTGAGACAAATCAAGATACGGTTCTTCCAATCAACCAAAGCATCGATGAACCACGTGAAGGCCATTGTGACTCTTCCACTCTCAACCAACAATCTTTTGACGACGACGAAATTGGTTTTACTAATCACGAGTTTGATTCAATGATAGCTAACTTAAGAAACGAAGAATGGGCTCAAAAGCTTGGAGTGAACACACCTGAAGAAGAAGCTGAATTAATGGATTCACTCCAAAACTGCAATACTTCTCAGGCTCTCTTAAACTTCTTCTGTCCAATATAGTTTAATCATCCATAATTTTCTTTCTGCAAATCATTACTGCATAATTCTTTATAGTATCAATATAAAATATTCAATTTTAGGCATCTCATGAATATATTTACTCTGTATAAAAAAGTTGAACAAGAGGAGGAGGCAAAAGTTTAATCAGATCTTAAATATTTCTCAGAGACTGAGAACAAACAACAAAACATAAAAACAAGTAATAGAAACAGTTTCTTTTTTATCTTGGTGATGCTTCACTTCCATCTTGCTTTATCACAGAACACAAAACCTGTCTTGAGATGTAACTTTCAAGCTCTCTAGAGACTTCCGTTAGCTTCAAGTCAAAGTTACTCCGGTACTTCTGCTTCGGTGATGGCACAACGGAAGAAGAAGAAGAGCCTGAGAACCTTCTTCTTGGGCTAGAGAATCTTCCTGGTGAAACCTGAAGCTTAGCTGCTACAGATGTTGAAGGTTGTTGTAACACAGTCTTGTTATTGTCTGGATCTAAAAGAAGTCCGAATTTCGTCTCTAATGGAAGTGGTTTAAGTGAATCTTCTTCGGTCTCAGAAACCGGTTTCGCTTTCCTCAGTCTTTCTTTTGCTTTCTCAGCTGCTTGTAGAGCCTTTTCACTGCTTAATGTTATCAGTTTCCATGGATTTATGCTTACATGAAAACCCGGTTTCTTGTTGATCAACGTGGAAGAAGGCGAACCTCCATCTCCTTCGATCTTTATCGATAATCTCTGCTCGTTCTGTAAAAAACAGAACATAATCTTTGAGAAGCATTGAATCAAAGAGAAGGAAAAAGTTTAGTTATTCACCTCATTTGCTTTCCTACACATAAACTTGGAGATAAACATTTGTCTTGGTCTTTCGGGCGAATCAAAATCGGAACTTTCATCAGAAGATGAATCCAATTCAACAAAAGGATCAACTTCTGTAAACTGATTCTCTTCCCTCATTGCTAATATATAGTCATATGTTCTCATTCCCTGCAAATAATTTAACGCAACTTGTCAAATAATGAACTCAAAAATCCAAAGGATACTAACTTCATGACTATATAAGAGTTACCTTTCTAATGAGAACAACATGGAAGAGGAAAAGCTGTCCCATGGCTGCTGAACCGTAAGCCGTTAACAAAACCAAGAAAACCTGTAAGAACACACAAAAACATTACAAACTCGATACGCGAAAAAGAAGAGGCATTTAGATTTTCATGAGAAAGAAAGAAGGAAGTTTATACAGATATTGTAGCAAGAGCCCATCTAGGGAACTCTACATAAAGCCGTCTCTTTAATTCGGTTTCCATTCCTTTCTTGTCTACAAAACATCTTACAAATATAGCAATAGCTGTTCCACCTTCTATAGTTAGCTGTTGCAACAAAAGATTAAGCCATATAAGTTTCCAAAAGAAACTTTTCAGGTTTCTGTCTGAAGTAGTTGAGAGAGGGCAAGTTACACACCATGAGCAAGACGAAAACCATCAGGAGTATGAAAGTTGTGTAATTCCTTTTCCCAACACAGTTATTAAGCCACTGAATATACATACACCAAACATCAAAAGAGAAAAAACTTATGTATAGATCCAAGACCGAAAAACCGAAAAACCTTACCCTGCAATGGTGATCAAACCCTTCAACACATCGGTTACATGTCCTGCAATGCTTACTGCTTCGTTTAACCTGAATATTAAAAACACACACAAAGGAAACATCTAAACAAGTCCTAGTTTTCATAATGTTGTTGTTATTAATGCACACAAAAAAAAGGCAAACCTCTAAATCACAAAGTGAACAATAAGAGATATCATCTTCTTCTTTAGGGTCAGGTGTAACAGCATTATCATCATCTTTCATGACAAGTGGAAATGGAAGAAGCGGTTCGAGCTGTATGCTGCTTTTCCATGGATCTAAATACGTTCTTCTGAGAAAATTCCTTAAGATCTTCCTCTCTAATCTCCTGAAAAACCTCACAACAACTTGGCCTAAAACAACCTTGAATCTTAGCTTCATCAAGACTCCTTTTGATTTAGCCTTTCTTTTTTTCCTAGCACTAGTTTTATCCGTAGGATCAATCGCGGTACACCTAACGAATAAAACTATAACCGAAACCGCCTGAAAGAAAAGAAAACAATTGAGTTCTTCAAATTTCTATTCACAAGAAGAGAAGTAAACAAAAATGGGACTTTCTTGAGCTGACTTACCACAAAGGAGAAAACCGAAAGAAGTGCGATAATAGCAATTCGATTCCCAACGAAGAATCCGAGGAATACATAGAAGGCTGTTACCAGAACACTATAAATAACAGCTCCAACAATCTGCACAAAGCAGTACACAGCTCAAAATCTAGTAATTCTGAGAATCTGATGCAAAGAACTCATCAATGATAAACGAATCAATCAAAGTTAACAACTTTTTTTTGAAGGTCGAAACTTGAAGATCCATATAACAATTTTGCCTAATTACATAGCTTAATCTAGCTAACCAGTGAAATCTAGAAACTATCTACACCTGGAAACATATAAATCAAACACTGATTCAGCTCACTAAGCATCGAAATCTATAGATCAGCCCAAAACAGAGAGATTCTCAAAGATAAACGATTCAATCAAAGTTAAGATTTTTCTAAAAAGGAGAACCAAAGCTCGAAACTTGGAGACTCGTATAATGATTTTTCCCCAATTATAGAGCTTATTCTATCTAACCAGTGAAATCGAAGCCAAAACCGGAAAATTTCCAGATAAATTAAGAAGCTTTGGAGAAAAAACTGAAGAAAATGAAGAGTTTTTTTCTTGATTGTGAATGAAACCTGTAAAGGGTGAAATGGTCGTTGCCAGCCATGGCGTCGCCTCGTCATGGTGAAGATCTTCACGGAAGAAACTCTAATTAATAGATCTTACTCGAAATCTTCATAGAAACTCACTTTCAGCTTTCAAAAATTTACAGAAATGGAGACAAATACTTTGGGTTTTTATTTATTTCTGAGGATTAATAATTAATAA